TGATATAGAATCATTAATTACGTATACAAACCTTATAAAAAACGTATCATTTCCTTATTTCGATTTCTTATAGGGTCTAATGTTTCAAAAGTTATAAAATTGAAAATATTTTTAATTTATAAATCATACATACTATTATTCTTGATATAAAAATAGTTAAAATGATAATCTTTAAAACTTTGTAAAAAGCTTTGTAAATTTTCCTTAGAAAGTTAAAGTAAGTTTTAATAATTTAAATAATCATATAATATTTTTGAAATGATATTAGAAATTTCAGGTCCGTGAAAGGATAACTACCTCCATTTAGTTTTATTGTAGAATTACTAATCCCAATCTCAATTTTATTCAGATAAGAATAACATTGAAGATTTATAAAATTTTTCAAGAGGTAAAGGTATAATATCGTTTTCACTTTTGAATTAAATAAAATTTATTTTAAGTATTTTTCTAATTCAATCAATTGGTTTTTTCTTTCATTTAAGATTATTTGATATATGGTTAATACGAGGGTTTATTTTTTTTTTAAGACATGATATGTATGTATTGCCAACCAGATGAACTGCGATGTTAACTATTCGGTAACGATAAAATAATTGAATTATGATATTGAATCTGCTTATATTTTAGAAATTAAAAAGGTAATGATTTTTTTAACTTTTTTTTTACTTTATGAAAGAAAATTAACTACAACATGTTAGATAATTTATGGTATACTGTAAAATAATACTCAGCCTTGTGGCAGAGAAATTTGGTATTTGTGTTGTGACTTCCTTTGAGAAAAGCATTCGGCTTAGTAATAACAAACGTGTTATCTTGTGAGCATAAAGAATTAATATACTTTGCAATATGCAAAAAAAGCATTAAATTAGAATGATTTATTTTCAACGAAATAGCTTTATTATTTTATAAATTTCAAAAGAGATATTTTTTAATTGAAAAAAATAATAACGTCTCTCTCTAATTTTTTTTTTATTTATTTCGCTTGATCGCTATTTTGTTTTTTTTTTAAAGAAAAAATAATATATTACAAAATTTGCATATCACGTGATGACAATATTATCCTAAAATAAAACAGTTTCACATTATTATTATTGCTAAATCTTGATAAATTCTTTATAATATTTGATTTACTCATTAAAAGTTTTTAAAAACTCTTTAAATAAATAAAAAATTTGAAAAGAACGGTATATGAATGGCGCAGCAATTTCACAATGTAAAAAAAATTATTCGGTCGGGTTACTCAAATTACGTAATGCATTTATTATATGCCTTTTAAATAGCGCTCAATGAAATGTTTCCACATATAATTTTCTTTCTGACACAGGATTATTTTTTTTTATACACATACATATATATATAATTTAGAATATTTAAATCATGTCTGCAAAAATTGAAAATATTGAAAATACTATAAACGGACTATGTCCCGATTGCGATATACAAAGATTTGATAATAATTGGTGTCAAAATTGCAGTCAAAAAAGATTTCAAAAAGAATTCGTTAAATGGGCTAGTGGAAATAAGCATATAGATAAATTTATTCAGGACGCTCAATTAAAAGCAAGAAATTATAGGGGAGTTATAGAATGGATTCCTTATGATCATTTGAGAAATATACAATTTCTTGCAGAAGGTGGTTTCAGTACCGTTTACAAAGCTATTTGGTTGGATGGATATATTAAGGAATGGGATAGCGAAAATAGCCAGTGGAAAAGAAACTATATTCCACTCAAAGATAAAGATTTTAAAAATGCAAATAATGATAAGGTTAAATCCCCTCTTAAAGAAAATGAAAAAAATGGATTATATGTTGTGTTAAAAAATCTGAAAAATTCCTCAAATATTCATAAAGATTTTTTAAGTGAGGTAAAATTTATTAAATATATTTTTTTTATTTATTATATATGCAAATCAATGTATTTCATTTTTTTAATACTGAATTTATTTCTTAGTGGGAAAAGTATTTAAATTTTATTTGTTTAGCGGATAAAGCAAGCATTTTTTTATTTGGAATTACTCAAGATCCTAAAACATTTAATTACATTGTCGTATTAGAAGAAATAAAGAATGGCAACTTGAGGTCTAATTTAATGATTAAAAAATATAATCCAGATGACAAGTATAGAAATCTATATTTTGTAGCAAGATCACTTTCAGCTTTGCATGATTGTGGTTTAGTTCATGGCGATTTCCATAGTGGTAATTTACTTTTATGGGATCATAAGAGTATGTATATTAGTGATTTTGGATTGAGTAGACCAGCTGATAAACCTAATAAATCGAATGAAGTTTATGGGGTGCTTCCTTATATTGCACCGGAAGTATTGCGTGGGAAACCATATACAATAGCCGCTGATATATACTCCTTTGGTATTATAATGTGGGAAATGACTTCTGGTATTCCCGCTTTTAATGATGTGCCTCATGATTATAATCTTGCTTTAAAAATTTGTCGAGGAGAAAGACCAAATATTATTAAAGGCACGATGTCTGAATATGTAGGATTAATGGAAAAATGTTGGAACAATGATCCCAATAATAGACCAACTGCCAAAGTATTAAATAGTTATTTTAATAAATGGTATAATGTATATTATAACTCTAAATATGTTCGAATTCATGTACCAGGTAAATAAGTTTCAACATAATATATTTTTATTAACTAATATTCAATCAATTAAAAATATTAAATCCTATGATAGAGAACGAACCGACCGTTATTAATCATCAATTATCTTGCTACATAAGCAGGAGATTTGATCATTCTTTAAGATTAAATGAAGAATTAAATCAAGATAATAACGGTAACGATTTAATTTAACATTGTCTTATTTGTCTTTATATTTTCAACTTTTATCTCTAAACCAATTTTATTTTTTTCAATGTTTTAGATAGTTGTTTGATACAATTAGAAAATAGTTCAGGGTTAACTGACAACTTGGGTAATTCTTTCTTTCCCTACAATATTTTATCTTTGAACTACAAGACTAATCTTATTTAATTTCAATTTATTTTAGAAGTCTGCAGGATTACTGGAAATAATGATGGTAAATCAGGATTAACTAAACACCCAGGTAATTATTTCCTTATCTACAATATTTTATCTTTAACATGTAAGACTAATATTATATAATTTCAATTCATTTTAGAAAGCTTCAATTTTAATGAAAATTATTATAGTAAAACAGGATATACTGAAAACTCGGGTAATCCTTTCATCTCCTACAATATTTTATCTTTGAAATATAAAGAATAATCTTATATAATTTCAGTTTAATTTAGAAAACTGCAAGATTACTGAAAATCATGATACTGAAGACTATGGTAATTCTTTCCGTACCTACAATATTTTTTATCCTTGAAATATAATACTAATCTTATTTAATTTCAATTCATTTTAGAATGTTACAGAATTACAACAGGATTTACTAAATACTCGGGTAATTCTTTCCTCACCTACAATATTTTATCTTTGAAATATAAAACTAATCTTATTTAATTTCAATTTATTTTAGAAAGCATTAATAATGAAAATCATGATACTTATGATAGTGATGACTCGGGTAATTCTTCCCTTCCCTACAAAATTTTATCTGAAATATAATATTAACTTTATATAATTACAATTTATTTAGATAGCTGCAAGATTAATGTTGAAATTGAATTAACTGAAGACTTGGGTACTCTTTCCTTCCCTACAATTTTTTATTTTTGAATATGAAACTAATCTTATTTCAATTTATTTTTTAGAAAGCAGCAATATTACTGAAAATGGTAATAATAAAACGGGATTAACTGAAAACATGGGTACATATTTCTTTCTTTTTTTTTTTACATTACTTTTAATTTGAAACTAATTTATTTAATTTAATTATATTTTTAGATAATTTCTTGATTACTAATTCAAGATTAAATGAAAGTGATACAAAAAGTGCTAAAAAACGACCAATCACATCAGAAGAATTATCTACAGAATCGTACAACAAAAAAACTAGAACCTAGTCAAATAACAATTTGTATGAAAAGACCAGTTAAAACTTAAAACGTAATTATTTATTAAAGGGTGAATTTAACGATCACATCTTGTATAATAAAAATTTAAATTAAAGGAAGCAAAAAGTTATATATATTTTTTAAATACAAAAAATAAATAATGCGGCTATATGCAAAAATGCCGAATTCGATTTTGAGATCAAGGAAATTTTACGCAAAATGCATAAGACGAGAATAGTTTACCATTAGTTCAGCTATACTAACAGCCATTCAACCTACTTCAAAAAAGTATAAACGAAATTAAATTTTGGCTGTCAGCGTTGTTCATATCTGTAAGGATCTAAACTGTCTATGTAAATCTTCAAGATTATCTCATCATGCCCTTGAATGTAAATTTGTTATATGGGAGGCGGTCAGTAGAAAAGGGGGAAATCCAAAATTTTTGTATAAATTATATATTTAAGAGATTAATTGCAAATTTAAATTAATATTATATAAGTATTAACAATTTAGCATAATAATAAAGAATTATTTTATAATTTATTAAAAATAATTTATATATGAAGTTTATCTTTACATTAAAAATTACAAATAAATATAATTAAACATAAATAATTATTAGTAAATTTGTATTTTATTCAGAATGCATTTTGTGCACCCCTGTATAGCATATTTTGTATGCATATCATGACATAATTTATTTAATAAACTTTTTTAAACTATTTTGTGTTATACATATCATTTATAAGCTTTTTCTTCTTTCTTTTTATAATTTCCAAATCAACTCTCTCTTTCATTTTCAAATCTTTTTCTTTATAACCAAACAAGATGAGTAATATTGAATCCATATTTAATGAAAATTCTAATAGTGATATTTCTGAGGAGTTTCTTAACAGCATTCCAGAAAATAGTGATTAAAGTGATGATGAAAATTGTATAGGATAATCTCAATGAAAGTAATGTTGATGCAAGTATTTCTACATTAACACTAGAAGTTGATATGAATTTTTTTACATGGAATGCTACATTCAAACATATAAAAAAATGGGCATGTTGTCAAGGTTTTTGTATTCGCAAAGGAAGATCTAAAAAGATGCAAAATAATGATCTTAGAAAGCAGACAATAGTATGCCAATATGAGGGGGTTTACAATAATAAACCATCAAAAACACAGTGAACCAACTGCAAATGGCATGTTAACCTTTTTCAAGCAGTTAAGAATAATCCAAATAACATTATTGTTATTACTACACTGCATAATGAGCATATTGATCATATATTAGATCCTTTTACATGTTATTTCAAGGCTAATAAGGCATTTACAAAACCTATGCTAGATGATATTAAATGGATGTGTTTATATAATTGATTAAAACCATTGGCAATTAAGCGTATGTTAAAGGCAAAATATAATTGAAAAGTTTATAATCAGAATCTTTATAAGGTGATTTATAAATATCGTCATAATCAAACTGAATTGGATAATGATGTACCTATAGATGAAGTCGATATGAAAACCCAAAAAGTCGAAATATTTCGACTTTGGAGGTCAAAGTCGAAATGAAAAGTCGAAATGATCAAAATTACGTCATATCACATAATTTTTTATATATAGAAAAAACAAAAAAAAAAGATATATGATCTTAGTCAATATCGCACGGATTCGTATGAAACAACTACCATTCAATTCCTTGCGACTAGAAGAATCTAATGAGCTATCATTTATTGATTTTGAATTATCTCATCTCGAGATATTTGCGATTGTATTTCGAAATCTGGACTCTTTTATTTAAAGTAGAATTTATTGATTTATAATTTCAGCCGATAATACAATTGTGAGTATTTCGTGATTGGATGATCCAAAATCAATAAATGTTAGCTCATTAGATCCGCCTAGTTTCAAGGAATCGAATTATAGTTGTTTCATATGAATCAGAGCGATATTTATCGAGATCGTACATCTTTTGTTTTTTGTTTTTTCTAAATATAAAAAATCATGTGATATGACATCATTTCAACTATTTCGTGACTTTAGTCTCTAATGATCAAAATTATTTTAACCATTTTGTCTATTTCGGATATCTGAAATGATCTATTTCGACTTCATATATAGTTGTATTACACCTTTTTGAATATCTTGAAAAATGAAAAAAAGGTAATTCACATTGGATAGTTTTTAAGGATTGGAATCTTAAAAGTAATACATTAACAAAAAATTTTTTGATGAGTTCAAACCAATTAGATATCTGATATCGCTATAATGATGTAATTATTAATAATAATATTGCAAAAACAAATCGTTATGAAATAGTACTTTCCTTTTTTATAGCAATTGATAATAACATAAAGTCACAAATTGTAGCACAAGCATTAATGGATCAGGAGACAAAAAATGCATATTATTGGATTTTACAATGCATATTAGATGCAACAGGAATTGCATCACAAGTTTTTATAATAGACACAGATCCTGGAATGGATGTTGCTATTCAATTAAAATATCCTTCAACCTTTTCTGTACATTGTATCTGGCATATTTCTTAGAATTTAACTTTACGCTTTAGATCTAAACTTGGTGTATTGTTTGAAGAATTTAAGAAAGATTTCTATTATTATCGTAATAGTTTAAATGAGGAAACATTTGAACAACGATAGTCAGAATTACTTAATAAGTACCCTAATATCATTAATTATCTTAATAGAAGCCTTTATCTATCTAAAACCTCTTGAGCATGTGTATTTAGTATTAATAATTTCACAATAGATTTACAAACAACATCACGTTGTGAATCAGTTAATGCTACATTTAAATGGCTTTTATATAACTCTAATAGTACACTTATAAAGATATTTCTTGCAATTGAAGAACGCTTAGAGAAAGAGCGGGATAATGAAAATTATACAAAATGGCAAAGTATTCAGCAATTTACTCAATCTACAACTTTGATTTCTAGTGTTTTTATAAATATAATTGACGAACTTAAAGCAATTGTTACATTATCAATACAAGATATTCATTTTAATGAAATGGAATTGGCACTTAATTATGATGTAAAGGAATTAAATTTATCTTATATAGACAATGAAAATTTTCAGGTTTATACATTTTTTAAAGTTTTATTTACAGTATTTATTTGACATTATATAAATGTGATTTTAATAATTTCTAGGATTGGACATTTGCAGATGGATTTATAGAAAATCAAGAAATTCGAAAAATTACATTTCAACATCTTTTAGCAAATTGCAACCAAGCATGCATTAGAAGTCTTTGGGGTATTGGTTATTTGACTTCTTTCAGAATATATTATTTTGGTTATCATTTTAAATAATGGAACATATAAATGTTCATGCCTATTTTTGAAAAATCATGATATTGTTTATAGACATTATTTCAGTATAATACTACAAACATCACAAGCCCAGTTTCATATAGGTTTATTACATCTTATCCAGATCTCAGAAATCGATCTTTTTATACTTTCTCAAAATTTAATGTTGAATTAGAAACTCTGTTTATAACAACTAATGATTTTTCTGATTTTCTTAATTTAACGAATAATTTTTATAATAAAAATCAGCAGTATGCTTCTTTAGGTCAGCAGAAATTATATTATGCTAATGTGTAGGGTTTAGTCAAACAAGCAAATCAGATTGCTTGCAAGACTTGTAATCAATCATTTATAAGTTTGTTAGAGAAATATATTGCTAATAAGTCTCATATTACTTTAGAAATAGTAGATAATGAATCTTACGATTAAGTTAGTATTAATTCCAATTCTCCAGAATTTGATCAAGAAAATGTTGATCAAATCCAAAATCTATAATCAGACGTCCTAAAGGAAGGCCACCAACAACTACAAGATTTAAAGTGCCTCTGAAAACTTCTTGTAGTTAAAATAAATGTAGTTTGTGCAGTAATATAAGGCATAATTGTACAATATGTCTGTAAAATCTTAATAGAAAAAAGAGGAAGCAATGATAGTAATAATAGTTTAATGGCTAAAATTACAGTAGTAATTTGAGTCCAGCTCCCTTCAGTCGCTGAAACGTTCCAAAAAACTTTATATATTTTTATTGTTATGTATAATTTTTATGTAAATTCATATTAGTTAGAAAGGATACATACCAAAAATTTAAATGCATTGTTAATTTTATTATATTTTATTAAATTTTATGTCATGTGTAAAAATTTTAATTTAATAGTATAAATAAAATTATATGCATCCCTGCATTTTTGCGTGAGTGTGTAGAAAAAAAAACCCTAATTATTATATATAAAAGATTTGTTTATTATAAATATAGGTTAATACTGATCAATTAGGTATTTATTCTAATTAGTCATTTTTTTGATCAGTAATCAATAGATAAAAATCAGTAAATAATTCAATCAGATATTAATTTGTAAATACTAATTAATTCTTAATAAATATAATGATATCAATAGTTTTTCAACCTAAATTTAATAAATTTAATAGAACTTCAAATAGTTTAAATTAAGTTAGATAATTAACTTAATCTAATCTGGTTAAGTCAGCTAAGATCTAATATAAATTGACATGAATTAGATATATATTTGACCTCATTTAATCTAATATAACTAGTATATAAGTTGAAAAAATCCTAAAAAATCCTAATTGGTTCTAATTAATTTTAAAAAATTATTATTATTTTAAAGATTAATTTTTAATTAAAAATCTTTAAAATATTAAATTTAAGATCTAAGTTTGACCAAATCTTAAATTAAGTATCGTAAAGCACGTTCTATAGTACCTGAATATTTTACATTCTACAAAATTTTAAGAGGTACTATAATCAGAGGGGTATTTTGGTGTGATGAAAGTACAATATATGGCAAAAAAGTCTTAACTATATATAGGTAACAAGTTAATAGATGTGATACGATAATTTTTTTTGATTTAACTATGACGATAATTAGTAATAAACGTTATAAGCATGCTAGAGTTACTAAAAAACTTTGACGACAATGGTGTTCTCGCGAAAAACTTATGATATTATATTATGCACAAAGAGTTCAAAGTAAAAAGGCTGCTGCAAAAAGGTTTGATATTGAACTAAAACAAATAAAGGATTGGAAAAAAAAGGAAGCAACTTATGATTTCAGTTCTATATATTAAAAAGTTACATCCAGGAAGGTCTCCAAGTTTACCTGAGTTAGAAGTACCATTATTTCAATGGGTTCAGGATTTAAGGCAGGAATGTAAAGCTGTAACTCATAATATGGTTGTGAAAAAAGCAAAAAAAACTAGAAGAAACTGATAAAATGAAACAACTTTATTCAACAATTCAAAATTTTAAATTTTCTAACAAGTGATTAGATAGGTTTATTGGTAGAAATAACTTATCTAATAGAAGAAGAATAACTACCAGAAGATTTAATTGAACAACAGCATTCATTTTTGAGTTTTATTCTTTATAGGCGTTGTAGAGTCAACAATCTCATTAATCAAGGCGTAGCAATACAAAAGGAAATGATCAACAATATTCAGTAAAATGTCACAAGAAAAAGTTATATGATAAAAGAGAAATAATCATTTTATTAAGAGAAAAGAATAATACTCATATTATTTACAGACCGAAAAGGAAGATTACACAAAATGGATAAATCACGGAAGAAAATGATTCGGATAAATTAGTTACCGAAAGAAAAGGATAATTAATTAACCGAATGAAGGGTCAAAGGAAAAGGATAATTAATCAACCGGACGGAGGGTCTTATAAAAAGACAGAAAATATTTGAAAAATAACAAATTGAAGAAGTTACACGAGATGCAAGAAGGTTACATAAAAGGCACATTCAATGGGAATGACAAACTGGATTACATTGAAGCTTGTGTAACATAAAGGTTACACATGATATTATAAACGAAATGAAAATCAGAAGTAAATAAGAATTAATACAACAGAATAAAATTAAATAATAAACAGTAAATAATAAATAATAAAACAAATACAAATACGGAGTTGGTAATAAACAATGAATAATTCAGATTTAGGGAAAAGAAAAGTGAATATTAAAACATCACATAGTAATCAATAAAATATACATCACAGATAGGTTACAATTAGTGACAGATATTAAATATCACAGGGGAAATAATTAGTTTATTCATCACATATAGTTACTATTCATCACTTTTTATATGTAAATTTACTATATAAACCCTTAGATATCTTCAAGGAACCAAGTCGTTCAATTTCTCAAGAATAAAAAAAAAATAATAATAATTTAATAAATAAACTTTTAACACAAATAAAAATGAATACTTTTGTTTGAAATAATTAATTGTTGAATAATAAATTATGGAAATAAATAAAGTTATCTCGCTTGTATATAAACTATAATTTTATAAAAATGTTAATGAAGTAATCTAGAAATAAAATTTAAAAGGAATAATAAAATATGACAAAAGTTAAAGAATATTTCAACGTAAAGAAATGAAGTAAAATAAATAAAAATATTAAAGGGGAAATTAAAGAATAATAAGAAGAAATAATATATTTGTAAAACATATTCGTAAATAATATTTGGAAGATATATGGAAGATATATTTGGAAGATATTCAGAACAAACATTTGGAAGACATATACGTAAAAGATATTCAGAAGTAACATTTAGAAATAATATTCGGAAGATATAATCAGAAGAGATAAATAAATATAATGTTAAGAATAATAAGAATAAAAGAGAAGAAGTACAATAATTAAAGAAAGATAAAGAATAACTTAACTGAAGATTAGACGACAATAACATTGAAAAGAAATTATTAAAGACAATTATCAAACAATGTAAAGAAAAAGATTCTTAGCAATTAAAAATTAATTTGTAAAACAAATCCTCTTGATGATGAGTGGCAGAAACGATCAAGAAGGTACAAGCTATGTTGAAGCTTATAGAACTCAAAAATGCTATACATTTATAAAACAAGAATTATGGCAACTACAACGGTTTATTACAACTATCTGATGAGCAATTGCAAGCGAACTCATAAATAAAGGAGGTATTACTTCTTTTCTTCTTCATTTTATATAGTTAGATAAATACTGGAAATCTGAACATGTGTTAGAACAACTTGTATAAAGAACTATTTCGATATTTGAGATATTACATTCCAGATGCATTGGTATTTTTTACTTTGACCAATCGACGAATTATAATGCCATAGCAGAAGATGCATTAGTTGCAACAAAATAAATCTGAATTCTTGAGGAGAACAACCTAAGATGTGTGACGGCTGGTATATTAATGAACATAGAGAAAGATGTGAGTAATTAATGATATTTCCAGATAATTACTCAGTTGCAAGATTGAGATGAGAGGCCAACCAAAAGGAATCAAAAAATACTTAAAGATTATAACCTTTGACCAGAAAAAAAGATTCGTTTAGTATGTGAACAGTATTCTGATAAAAATTATGATAATTTGGAAGTTTTGGACTGCTGTGCATGACAAATCATATCATAATAGCCTGATTTTTGTGAATAACAATCAATGTTAAAGAAGGCAGTTACTGGATCAGAGCATATTTTTGAACTTTATCCTAAGTTTCATTATGAATGCAATTTTATAGAAATGTACTGGGATTTTACTAAATAAGAAACTAGACGAATATACAATTACAATTACAAAGACTTACTTTAACAGCTTCTAAGGGTTCTTAACGATGTTTCTGTAATAACTATTCATAAATTCACTCAGAAATCTTGGAGATATATGGATGCTTACAACAAGGAGTTGGTAGGTAAATCTGCCAATTAGGCTGTTACTAAATATAAATCTCATTGTCATTTACCTGAAAGCATCGAAAATGAAATGGATCTAATCAAGTAATTAGTACATGCTTATTCTGTTTGTATAATTAGTTTTATACATAAAAATAAATTTTAATTACAGATTTATTTTAAATTCACAAGAGATCAAAGATGATATCGTGATTTTTTTTATTACTCTTGTATAATAAGTATAACTTATATGTCTAATATAAATATTGCAATATTATTAATCAATCAAAATTGAAACAATCCAAGTGATTGTTAGATATAACCTACCGGTATCATATAAAAGTAAAAATCAATTTTTCCTAGCAGTTTCTCTCCTTTTTATTACAAAGGCTTCATATTAGCCAAATATCTACCAACTCTATCAAATTAACTTCTTATATCATCTGGAAAAATAATTCTTGTATTATCAAAATATATCTGAATTCTTGCTAAAGGTAATGATGTCTCAAATTACCTATCTAAAATAGCTTGTATTATATGTTTTATACCTCAGTGTTCAGAAATGACCTGATTATTTGACCATTTAAATGATCTGTCTATTCATTTGTCATAATTTAGCATTTATCATTTCATAAATAATCTAAATAATAAATGATAAATGATTAAGATCATTTAAAATCATTAAAATCATTTGTAAATTAGTCATTTGCTTTTACAAAAATTTAGTGATACTCTTAAAGAATCGCAAATTCTTAGCAAAACCCTTGATTCTATAAGAGTTTCACAATTTTATCTCCCAATGATAAAGAATCATTTCAAAGGATAATAAAAGGATCGTTTCAGTAGAATAATAGAAGAATCATTTTAAAGGAATGATTAAAAGCATCATTTCTTAAGAACGATAAAAGATTATTCTAAAGGAATGATAAAAAAATCATTTTAGTAAAATGATATTACATTATTCTAAAGGAACAATACAAAAAAATCGTTCTATTAAAATAATGAAAAAAATCATTTCTTAAGAATGATAAAAATCGTTCTAAAGGAATAATACAAAAAATCATTTTAATAGGACAATAAAGATCATTCTAAATGAATAATACAAAAAATTCATTCCAATAGAATAATATTATATCGTTTTATCAGAATGATAAAAAAAATCATTCTTTAAGAATGATAAAAGGTCATTCTAAAGGAATGATAAAAAATTGTTCAATTTTTAGCTTGAGTTTAACACTTGACTTAACTTGATTGGACTTGTTGACTTATAATTTGAGTCGACTCGTTCAGAACTTGAATATAATTTAATATACTATTATATATTATATAAAATATTTGCTCAATATGAAATAATTTTTTTTAATATATATAATTAAATATTTTAATAAATTTAACTTATTTACATTATAATAAACAAAATAAATAATAAAATATGCTATAATTAAAAATTATTGAAATAACAGATCATTTATCATTGTCATTTGAGTCATTTGCTAGTCATAATCATTTGGCGAACACTGCTATACCTAGCACGTCTTTTTCATTTGAAACTTTTTTCTAGCTTAGATCTGTTATTTCATAAATACAGGTCTTAACATTATTTTCTAGCTTAAGTATCTGCTCCTCTCGAGATAATAAATATTCCTTCTTTTATTTCACATTCTATAAAGCTTTTCAAAGATATTATTTAAGAAATATAATTTTTTTTAAAAGATATTAACTCATTCATGATCTATGATTAAAGATGGATACTATAATTAAAATGTTGCAACATCATATAAATTTTTTAATAATTATAACATGTGTTATAATTAAAATTATGTCACAACTTAAAGTATATAATGCAATTAGCCGCAACTTGAAGTATATGACGCAATTAGCCGCAACTTAAAGTATAAGGCGCAATTAGCAGCAACTTAAAGTATATAGCACAATTAGCCGCAACTTAAAATAAGTTATGCATAATCAAATGTTACAAATGTTATAATTGCCGCAATTAAAATCATATTAAATAAAATAGTGTAATTTGATAACAAGTTATAATAACTTAATATAACCTGTTATCAAATTATACCATTTTATTTAATATGATTTTAATTGCGGCAATTATAACATTTGCAACATTTGATTATGCATAACTTATTTTAAATTACGGCTAATTGCATTATATACTTTAAGTTGCAACATAATTTTAATTATAACACATTATAACAAATGTTGCAACAAGATTATAAATTTTTATGATTATAATATATTGTTAAATTAATTATGGGTACCATCTTTAATTAATACGAAAAACTGCATGCTTTCTTTTAGATTGCTTTTCAGAAATTTATACTTGTATTAACTATAAAAAAATACAATTTTAATTCCATTGTAGGTTACTACGCAAAATTTATCAAAAAAGAGAGAAACTGATGTCAAAAACAGTTTTTCTATTTCAGCAATGAAGATAATAGATGCATAGTTTTGTCATTTATCTTTAAGATACAGCACTTTTCATAAACCCAGTTTGTTTGATTGTGATTCTTTTAATTATCTTATTACTAATACTATCATTACTAAAGAAACAGGTTGAGTATTATCATGTGGTCATGCATATCATAATATATGATTTAGCCTAAGTGTATGCATTACTTAGATTATATAAAGTCTGATATTGATGATTATGTACAATTACTTTTGAATCGTTTGATTTGATTCAAATAATGAAGTTGAGACTGAAGAACCTGACCTTACTCCTGATGATGATCATGATGATAAAGAATCTGTTGATGATATTTCAACTTCTTGAAACATTGCAATACAGCAATTTCTTCAACAGTAATTAGTTAATAATAAAAATTATTATATAAATATAGTAACCCAATGGGTTTGTTTTATTAAAATAAAAATGTATATAATCGATATGATATATAAACCTAAAAATACAATTCTAACAAATTTAAAATAATAAATATAATATATAAAAAATAAGAAATATGCTTAAAATCGACATTTAATTTTGATTGGTCAAATTAATACTTAAATTTAATTGGTTACTTATTGTTATTTATTATTGTCTTTTTTCCATAAACTATATTATAAGATTTTCTTTTTCACCATGTCTACTGTGCTTCTACTTCCGAAGATGTTAATTTTAATGAAGGACTTAATGTTCTTTCTTCATACTTGCAAGAACGAAATAATAAATTATATCGTAATTTTTTACTTCAAAATCGGGACACCGTCGTTACTTCGTCGCTGTTATTCTCGAAAAACTGGGAGGTTCTCGACAACACATGCGCAACAAACTTTCTGAGAGAGGCGGGAAAGCTGAAGCTGGATTTACGCGAAAAGGTGCGTTTTTTTTTATTTTGCAAAGGGAGGGTAACTCCTAGTTGAACCGCAGTTTGCGCATTGACTCAGGAGAATTACTGAATGTGACGGCTTGGTAACCACTCCAAGAACTCTATTTCAGGCACCCTATCTTTGTTGTTGGTAAAGGTCTGTTTGATCTGAAGGAGGAGCAAACCGTTCCACCTGCTCCCCGCGTAGGGGGTTGACTAGTTGACGAACATTTTAAAAAAATTGCGGAGATATTTAATGGAGAGGCAGCCAACCGCAATTTCCATTTTGCCAATGCCGCAGATACTACTTATTTGGCTAATTTACCACTGAAATTACTAATTCAGAAGCAAAACGATATCGATCCGTTACTATTCCAGAACTCGAGCTAGCACTTAAATAAATCGTGTTACATTATAAGCATCGAACTATATTAAGTGATGCAATGCTAATTGAAAAGGCTAAACTACTTGCTAATGGATTAGAGGTTCCAGAAGATACCTTTTTTTTGAGGCAAATAACCTCTTGCTCGCCCCTTGAATAGTTGCGGAACTATGTACCTTCCTTTATCACTAAATGTAAAGTCATCGCACAATACTCTACTTGCAATAGGTCAGGTCTCGGGATGCTAAAGATTTAGAAAGTTATTGGGAAGGAGTGCTCCAAGAATGTAACTTAGTAAGTAAATTAATGTAATGCAATTCTATTTACATTTCATTAACAACATATTGTTTCAGAGGCGAGAGATTTCTACACTTCAAGAAGAAAAGGAGCATCACCTCC